TCGGCAGGCGGGCTCTCAACCACTGCACCACCAGGGAAGCCCTCCACTCAGGGTATTTACCCAACAAGAATGAGTGTGTATTCATCAATCAGGCTCACTGACTTCAGACTATACTACAAAGCCACAGTAATCAAGACAGTATGGTACTGGCACAAAAGCAGAAATATAGATCAATGGAACAGGATAGAAAGCCCAGAGATAAACCCATGCACATATGGTCACCTTATCTTTGATAAAGGAGGCAAGAATATACAGTGGAGAAAAGACAGGCTCTTCAATAAGTGGTGCTGGGAAAACTGGGCAGCTCCATGTAAAAGACTGAAATTCGAACACTCCCTAACACCATACACAAAAATAAACTCAAAATGGATTAAAGACCTAAATGTAAGGCCAGACACTATCAAACTCTTAGAGGAAAACATAGGCAGAACACTCTATGACATAAATCACAGCAAGATCCTTTTTGACCCGCCTCCTAGAGAAATGGAAATAAAAACAAAAATAAACAAATGGGACCTAATGAAACTTAAAAGCTTTTGCACAGCAAAGGAAACCATAAACAAGATCAAAAGACAACCCTCAGAATGGGAGAAAATATTTGCAAATGAAGCAACTGACAAAGGATTCATCTCCAAAATTTACAAGCAGCTCATGCAGCTCAATATCAAAAAAACAAACAACCCAATCCAAAAATGGGCAGAAGACCTAAATAGACATTTCTCCAAAGAAGATATACAGACTGCCAACAAACACATGAAAGAATGCTCAACATCATTAATCATTAGAGAAATGCAAATCAAAACTACAATGAGATATCATCTCACACCAGTCAGAATGGCCATCATCAAAAAATCTACAAACAATAAATGCTGGAGACGGTGTGGAGAAAAGGGAACCCTCTTGCACTGTTGGTGGGAATGTACATTGGTACAGCCATTATGGAGAACAGTATGGAGGTTCCTTAAAAAACTAAAAATAGAACTACCATACGACCCAGCGATCCCACTACTGGGCATACACCTTGAGAAAACCATAATTCAAAAAGAGTCATGTACCACAATGTTCATTGCAGCTCTATTTACAATAGCCAGGACATGGAAGCAACCTAAGTGTCCATCAACAGATGAATGGATAAAGAAGATGTGGCACATATATACAATGCAATATTACTCAGCCATAAAAAGAAACGAAATTGAGTTATTTGTAGTGAGGTGGATGGACCTAGAGTCTGTCATACAGAGTGAAGTTAAGTCAGAAAGAGAAAGACAAGTACCATACGCTAACACATATATATGGAATCTAAAAAAAGAAATGATCGTGAAGAACCTAGGGGCAAGATGGGAATAAATATGCAGACCTACTAGAGAATGGACTTGAGGATACGGGGAAAGGGAAGGGTAAGCTGGGGCAAAGTGAGAGAGTGGCATGGACTTATATACACTACCAAACGTAAAATAGATAGCTAGTGGGAAGCAGCCGCATAGCACAAGGAGATCAGCTTGGTGCTTTGTGACCACCTAGAGGGGTGGGATAGGGAGGGTGGGAGGGAGGGAGACACAAGAGGGAAGAGATTTGGGGACATATGTATATGTATAGCTGATTCACTTTGTTATAAAGCAGAAACTAACACACCATTGTAAAGCAATTATACTCCAATAAAGATGTTTAAAAAAAGAATATATATGACTAGTAAGAATCAAAAAAAAAATGAGTGTGTATTCTTTAAAAGACATGTACACGAGTACTCAGAGCAATTTCTTTCAGTGGCCAAGAACTAGAGACAATCCAAATGTCCATCAACAGATGAACAGACCGTGGTACATCCATACAGTGGAATACTACTCAGCAATTAACAAGAGGGAATTACTGATTCAGGCAACACAGATGAGTGTCTCAGACCTAATAGTGAATATAATTAGCCAGGCTCAGAAGAGAAGAGGACTCGTTTGGGCATTGCACTTAGATCAAGTTCAAAAACAGGCAGAATGGAATTCCCTGGTGGTTCAGTGGTTGGGACTCAGCACTTTCACTGCCAGTGGCCCAAGTTCAATCTCTGGTCGGGGAACTAAGATCCCGCAAGTCAAGCAGCATGGCAAAAAAACCAAACCAAACCAAACAAACAAACAAAAAAATAGGCAGAATGAATGATGGGGTAGAAGCCAGCAGCTTTGGGGGTTTGGGTGGGAGGGTGCCCAAGGGGATGCTCAAGGCTGGCACAGATCATTGCTCTGATCTGGGGGTGGAGAGAGCAGTAGGGGCCACAGCTGAGCTCTGGAACACTTGAATACAAGAAGTGTGGGGTATGCCACTAGTAGAAGCCACTAGGACTTGCATCTTCCATTCACTCTGCATGGACTTTGGGCTGCAGAAGCCTTCCAGCTGAGAAGAGCTTTGAGAGCCAGGAAGAGTTTTTGCAACAGTCAGCAGAGGCAGCGGAGAGAAACAGCCCCACAAGAGTTCTCCCTCAGAACTACCAAATGAGGTGAGGACCATGGAGATTCCCATTGTAAAGATGGACAAACTGAGGTATAGAGAGGTTAAGCCACTGCTCAGGGTCACCAGCTAGTGAGCATTGGAGCTGGGACCACATCTCCCCAGAAATGTCCCTCTCAGTCCCCAGGCCCCTGTGATGCCCGGGTCTCAGCACCTCAGAGCCGGCTAAAGGGAGATGAATAAAGAGAACAGTATGGAGGCTCCTTAAAAAACTCCAAATAGAGCCACCATACGACCCAGCAATCCCACCACTGGGCACACACCTTGAGAAAACCATAATTCAAAAAGAGTCATGTACCACAATGTTCATTGCAGCTCTGTTTACAACAGCCAGGACATGGAAGCAACCTAAGTGTCCATCGACAGACGAATGGATACAGAAGATGTGGCACATGTATACGATGCAATATTACTCCGCCATAAAAAGGAACGAAACTGAGTTATTTGTAGTGAGGTGTTCTCTTCTTCTCCCTTCCCTGTAGCCCAAGAAGTTGTAAGCTTAGTTGGAGCTGTGAGGATTGATGTGGCCCAAGTCAGGAGTTGGGGGCTCCATCGGGACTTTCCGGCCCCTTTGTGAGGCTGTTCCCAGGCCCTGTTGCACTCAAGAGGATTGGGAGTTTTCAGAGTCAGTGACCTGGCAATGATGGTTGATCCAGTCGGACCCAAGGCCAGTATGGGTCGTCCGGGGCCCCCTGGTCACACACAGATGCCCTGGAAAGTGATCTGGGGCTGGTTTCGGGGTGGCCAAGATCACAACCAGAGAGAACAAACAGGCTTTGCTTCCCAGCTGGATCGGATTCCATGGCCGGCGCCAGAGCAACCTGGGTGGGACCTGGCAGGTGCTGGCTACGCCCAGAGTGGAGAGATCCGGGGAGATATCTTAGCATCAGAGGCCTAGTTTTTCCAAGGCAGCTGAAGTGGGGGCGGGGGAGGGGGTACCGTCTCCCCCCGCCCTCCCCTCCAGGATAGTTCACTGTCTCCACCCTCAGACTCCCAGGGCAGAGGACTCTTTTCCCTCAGATCCCTGTGCAGGGCAGTATCTCCCCCTTCAGGTCCCCAGGCCAGTGTTGTTAGACACAAGTGCCTGGGTGGGTGGCACATCCCCTTGGGACCCCGTGTGACCCCTTCTGGCCAATGAGCTGTGAGCAGAACTTTGACAAGGCACTTCCAGGCCAGAGCACTTAAGTGACAGCGTGAGACCCTACTGACGCACCCTTTGGGTGCGTTTCCTTGCAACTACGACCAGCAGCCTGTTGCCGCCCTGCCATGGGCACGTGATGTGGACGAGAAATAAGCCTTAGCCTTCCTACGCTGCAGAGATCTGGGGAATGTTCCTGACCTGGGCCACCCTGATGCTATGCATACCTGGGGAAGAGAGAGCAGAAAAGGAAGCACATCCGTGGAAGAGACAGTGTGAGCCTGGGGGGGTTCATTTCACAAATACAGTTTGTGGAGTCCGTATTCGCCAATTCTCCTACTGGCTCAAATCTGTGACCCCCAAATCGATACTCACAGTGCTTTTGTGGCTATTGGTGGACACGCACAGTGCCGGAAAAAATTTGAGTCCTCAGAGGTGCATGTTCCCAGCTGTGGTGGGACAAGGCAATGGTCTGCCTTCCTGTTCCAGCTCTGACTGTAAACCGGCATCCTTCTTGAGGTCTAGCCAGTGGCCCATTTTGCATTTTTGTGCTTTTTCATTGGTGATTTTTGCTGTTTGCAAAGGCCCCCAAGTGTAGTACTGAAGAGCTATCTAGTGTCCCCAGGTGCAAGAAGGCTGGGATGTGCCTCCGGGAGCAAATACTCTCCGATGAGCTTTGTTCAGACGTGAGTTCTAGGGCTGGTGGCCGTGAGTTCACCGTTAACAAATCGGCAGCATGTATATTAAACAAGGTGTCTTGAAATGCACAGAAAACAAGGTTATGTATTGATTACTTGACCAAAATGTGACTAGAGGCTTACAAGAACCTACCTGTATCTCCCCGAGGAATACAGTATTTCCCAATTCAGTTTTCACGCTACTTTACAGGAGGTAACTACCGCAATTCATGAGTATCCACCGTTTGTGTCTACCACACAGCGGAGGAAAAGGGACGCACAGAACAGAACAGCTCGGTGGTTAAGAGAGCAGGCTCTGGGTTGGAAACCCAGCTGTGAATTTAGCCGCCTCCTGCTTCGGTTTTCCTATCTGTGAAACGGCCACGCAACCAGGGCTTCCCACTGAGCTGGGGGAGGACTAAATGAGATACTGTACATCAGGTGTTGGTGAGAAGGTCCTCGAAGTATAAACGGTAGCTGTTACTATTATTACTGTTACGCGCAATGATGGAGGGGCGGGACCCGGTCTCCTCTGTGATTCGGAATCCCGGCTCAGGCACTCGCTGAGCCTCAGTTTCTCCCTCTGTAGAATGGGAGTGGCGGCAGCGCCCCCTCCCCTCCAGGATTTCACCCGCTTGCTGGGTGTGCGTCTGTCCCTGGCTCCTGCGAGCCACAGAGACCCACAGTCAGAATGGAGACTACAGACGGCCCGGACAGCGTGGTGTTTATTTCCTGGAGGGAGGACGCCCGCGTGGCCTCCAGGCACCAGCGAGTTTTGACACAAATGACTTGAAGGCACTGGTTTCCGTCCAGCCCCTACCCCTGCCTTGCGCATCAGGGCCCGGGGGGCAGGAGACCCATCACCAAGCAGACCGCTCCCGGCCCCTCCTCCAGGGCTGCTGCTCCGCTGGGTGGCCGAGGGTCCAGAATGCCTTGCGCCGCCAAGGCTCCCAAGATTCAATGCGGTGGGCAGCTGCCAGTCCGGGGCTTTCAGGTAGGGGACTCTTCCCTGGGGCCGGTGAGGGGCTAAGAGACGCTAGGGGGCAGGCGGGCAGCTGCCGTCTTCTCCACCACGAAGCCGTAGTTGTACTGGGGGGTGGGGAGTGGGGTGAGCGGAGAGCACAGAGCGAAGGAGGAGCCACTGGGGTGCCAGAGAAATGTGGGGCATGGGGATCTGGAGCCCTCGAGGTGGGTTATAGCTGGGAGAGAAGAGGGACCCAGGGGAGACTGGGGGGGCTGCACCCCCCAACCCCACCCCCTCCCTAGCCTGCACCCACCTCCTCCTCAATGTCCGCCAGTGACTTGATGGTCAGATCAGCAAGGGCAGAGAAGGCCTGGCAGGCAAGGGGCATGTCAATCTCGGGCAGGGACCCCAACGTGGAACCCCCGTTCCCTCGTCTGAAAGGAGGGCCCCCTCAATATGTGCCTGAATGTCCTCTCCCCTTTCCTGCCACCATCTCTCGCCCCCAGCATCCAGCTTCCCCTCCTGACTCCCCCATTCCAGGAGACCCTCCCACACCCTTGCCTTGGCCTCCAGCCTCCTCTCACCCAGGAACTCCCCTGTGTGCTGAGGTGCTGGTTACACAGATGATGCTCCCTGATTCCTGTTGCCTAGAAACGCAATGGGGAGGGGCGGACCCGGACTCACCAGGGGACCACAGCTCTTGCCCTCGAATCGGGGGTGCAGCGTGAAGGGAACCCCATCCATGGCTGAGGAAAGCAGGTGGGGGGAAGGAGCTGAGGCCCAGGAGACTTGAGGCCTGCCCGCTCCCCACCCTGAGAAGCCCATCCTGGAGGTCTTGGCCTTTCCCAGTCTTGACAGAATGGGGGAAGCCCAGGCCTGGTCCAACCCTGCCCTTGCACCTTCCTGGCTGTACAGTCTCGGGCCAGTCTCGCCCCTCCCCCACCCCAGTGCCTCAATTTCCCTGCTTTGTGCTCACCTGAGATGCCATAGAGGTTGGAGGCCTCGTAGATGGAGTCGCTCCTCCGAAGTGTAGATGCCCGAGAGCCCAGCCTTGAGAGCATCCGCTCCGGGAAGCCACCCTTGCTGGTGGAGGCAGGATGACCCAAGTCAGAGGCCTGATATCCACCGCCCCCCACCCCATGGCCGCTCCCATCCCTGAGCCCGAGGACTCACCTGGGCTGGCCAGGTGGGTCCAGGGAGAGGTCTCTCATGTCTCGGCTGAGAGCTCGGGGCTTGGGCACTGGCCGCGGGGCCTTGGCCTTCTTGCACCAGATGGCGAAGCCCCCCATGTCCCTAGAGGAGGAGGAAAAGAGAGAAGGGGCTCTGGCCCAGTGTGCAGCCAGGGCTGAGAATAGCTGCCAGGGGAAGGCAGGCCTCCGGTGACCTCACATCTCAGCCCACACGCTCGGCAACATACTAACTAGTATGATGGGTGCAGTCACCATACCGGGTGCTTCAGACACACCAACTCATTTGGTTCTCACCATCACCCTATGAGATTGGTACAACTGTCCCCACCTTAACATGTGGAAACTGAGGCACAGAGAGGTGGCAGAAGGGATGGAAGGACTCATGGGAGTCCCTGAGGGTCAGAGGGGTAGGTATGGGGGTTGGGAGGCCAAGGAAGGAGGGCTGGGGGGTGGCCCTACCCTACTCGCAGGTATCCAGGCACCGTCTTGGTTTTCCCACTCAGCCGGACGTCAAAGACAGCTGTGTCTGCGACCCCCAAGGGCACCAGCTTCACACACATGCGTTTCTTCTTGGACACGGAGGCCTCTGGGAGTGAGGGACAGGGGAATGAGAAAAGGGGAGAAGCAGGAAAGGGGTCCAAAGATGGCTCCAGGAGAATGCTCGCCAAGGTGCTGTTTAAGGCAGCCATCTGGATGGTGCTGGGTCAGTGGTTACATCATGAATGGTAAAGCCATAGGAGGGGAATCCATGAAGCTTTTAGGAGCCATTGGGGCAGGCTCATCTTTGGTGACATGGAGGAGCATTCATGGGGTGGCCATGGGCACCACAGTGAGGGTGGGTAGCTGTGGGATCCGACAGAACTGGGTACCCATCCTGGCCCTCCAAACACACTTTCCCTCAGCCCTCTAATCCAGAGGTCAGCAAACTACAACCTATAAGCCAAATCCGGCCCAAGATCTGTTTTTGTCTGGCTCATGAGCAAAGCATGGCTTTTACATTTTTAAAGGGGTATATATTATATATATGCAACAGAAACCATCTGGCCTGGAAAGCCTAATATATTTACTACCTGGCCCTTTACAGGAAAAGTTTGCCAAGTCCAGTACCAATAGATATATGCTGAGAGCCAAATATAAATGACAAGACATGGAGAGGGCATGAGAGGCAGGGAGAGCCTGATGGTTAGAAAGCAGAGCAGTCGGGGCTGGGAGGGCAGCTCCAGGGTAACTGGAGCCCGTGTGCAAAAGCGTGGAAGTGGAAAATAGAACTGCGTGTGGATCAGCTTAGCTACAGTGTAAGAAGAAGGCGTAGTAGTAACAGTAATAAAACAGGTCGCATTGACTGAACACTTACTCTAGAACAGACTGTACCAATGGCACATTTTTACGCAGGGCGGGGTACATCGTTCCGCCCTAGATCGGGGCCCTGAGTCCTCAGCCAACACTGTCATTACCCAGTGCATCAAGGGGGCGGCCAAAATTCAAAAATCGCATGCCTATGGTCCCTCCATTCCCTTCCTGGACCCTCCCCGCAGAGACGCGAACGTGCCCCGGACCCCCCACCCCACTCCCGCCTTCGACAGGGGACTCACTGGAGTCCAGGGGGTCGCAGACCGGGAAGAATCCCGGCGGGAGGGGGCTCTTGTCCACCAGGACCTGGATATCGACCACCACGTTCTCCTGTGGATTCTGG